GTTCCAGCAGGTGAAACGTAGAAAAAAAAAGTGCACTTGAACGCACTGGGGCACAGAAGTAAAGTAAGAGGGAAAAAAAATGAAGAAAGGAGCGACAGATTGAAGTTAAAAAGATGGTGAGTTCATTGGGGAGACAGCCGTATTCGATAGTGAACTTGGCATGAGGTGGTTGAATCTACTCCATTGGGGGCTTGAAGGGCAGAAGAAGAAAGCAAAACGTCAGGGAAAGTAAAGGCGACCGGCAAGGTACTGTCCACAACGAATGCGGATTAGTCTAGAAAGGTATGATCCTAGCATTAAATGTCCGATTCACTACTTGTGTGAAAAGCACTCGGCCCCGGTATTTTTCTTGTATTTTCACGAAGCATTCATAGAGGTCACCCTTTAGGTGAAGCACACGGTGCCATAGTTAAAAGCGGAAGTAACGGATTTGACAAAAATAAACCCCATTATTATCATTTCTTAACAAGTTGCCGGAAAATGGGAATCCGCATTGAGACACTTTTAAATAACTCCACAAATGTCCGTTTTTATATCAGGGAATTAAGGGCTAAATCTAGGGGATTAAGGACTGACATCTTTGAATTAAGTTGATCGATTCTCGTTTCATATTTGTTTTGCACAGTGTAGGATTGATTGTCAGATAGGCTTCGTTTAATATAATGATTGCTCCCTCTAAATCCAAGCAGATGTGTGTCGGGCAGATCGGAGGGCGCCCGCTGATAGCTGCGTCATGTAGGGAGACATTCGTCACGGGGGAGCATGATCTGCAATCAGTTAGTTGTTTCCGTGAACCTTCAATGGAGGGCTTCTGAACTTCAATATTGCAGAAAGATTTCTACAGAATTTTATATCAAGGAGAGTAAAATCTCATGAGGCTCAAACGTGAAAACACTGATAAAAATACTGCCAAAAATTCTGAAACTGATACCGGGTTTATGGTGCTAGCCATATGAATACCATTCAGAACTCCATCCAAGGTTTTCAGTGTCGCTTGTATTTCCCAACACATTTAGTTTATACGACGGATCAACATCATGGCACAAGGGTAGTAACCTATAAGTGCTCCGTTCTTCTTCTTCTGACTCAAGCCAGAGTCTGAAGAATCTCAGCGCAGTGAACAAACGCCGTAACACCAGCGAGGGTCCTGAAATACTGTGGGTAGATTTTTAACTCCAAATTGTGCACGGGCAGCGCCCTTATGCTACTCTTTTTTTCGAGTTCCAATTGTCAAGGACTTCGCGCAACAATACACACGGGCGTCCGATCTTACTACACAGACCAGGGGAAATTACTAAAAGTCCACGTGAACAAATCATAGTTTCACCGGGGCTAGAACCCGGGACCTCCAGCACTCGAGGCGTACGGCATGCATCGAGACCAGGTAGCCCCCTATTTCCCAACAATATACTGGGTACGCAGCAGCCCTTGCCTGCTGACCTAAGGTGTTGAGTTCAAATCTACATTAAAGTGATATTTTTATACATGATCTGGGTTTCCATCAGAAGGCAGCTTGACAAAGAGACCAGAGAATATTCTGTCATAACTGTGAGCAACTTGATGCTGACCATAAGACCCATGGAGTGACCATTTTCCGCCTTCTATAACTCACGCTATGTCGTTCTATCCTTCGATATCGTATCTACCCCACCCTTTCTAATCACCATTTCATCAACTTTACTCTAGATCCCTTATTCCAGTGCAAAGTGTTTTTGTTTTTATGTTTTCTCAACGTGTGTCCTATCCTATCTCTAAATCTTGGTCAGCTGGAACCTGTTTAGTTCTCTCCCAAAGCTCAACAGTAGTCATCTAGCATAATTTAAATTCCTTTATTCTACGCAATCACCAATTAAGAGATTACTTTATTTTACTAGTAACTGTTTTAGTTGTTGTTTCATGTCTCCGCTTCATTTTTATATTGGAGTAAATAAAAATTGTAAGTTTAGTATTAGTTTTGATTTCTTTTGACCTCCGTAAATTCCCTAGTGCTATGAAAGCTTCTCTTGCCTTTTGTATTTGTATAATAATATCTATATCAGCTTCCCCCATTTTAATCTACATTACTACCCAAATCGGTGCATGACCCCACATCTTGGAGTGGGGTACCATATGGAGAATTTTGCTGCCAGCTCCAAGGTTTATATCATGAGCACTCTAAGCCTGATTGTCGCTGTCGCCTGTACTTCCCCAACAATGTATCGGTACTCACTGGGTATGCCTAGTAATAGGATTCGCCAAATCCTTTGCCTGGTAACCTAAGGTCTTGAGTTCACCAGGATTATATATATATTTTTTTTCAATAAATGACTTGGGTTTCCATCAGGACGCAGCCTGAAATATGTATCGGGGAATATTCTGTCACCACTGAAGATAACGTCATTTTCACCACAACACACATGGAGGGTCGACTGGCCTGTAACCTACGGGCCTACCATCATAGTGTCGCTGCGCTTATGGCGTGACATGGGTCGTCTGCTTCAACCCATTTATACCTGGCAGTAATATAATTTGTTATCAGTGACTAAACAGAATACCTATTTAAAAAGGGATCTATTACAGGGCACACTGGTAACATGTGGCAGAAGATGTAATAAAGAAGTTACATGTAGAATATAATTTGTTATCAGTGACTAAACAGAATACCTATTTAAAAAGGGATCTGTTACAGGGTACATTGGTAACATGTGACGGAAGATGTAATAAAGAAGTTACATGTAGAATAGCGCAAGCAAAGGCAACGTTTTACAAACTGAAGAATATTTTATGCAATAATTCTCCTCTCAGCTGAGATGAGAAAGAATTTTTAAAAGCTAAATATATGCCATCTTGATTTACTGAAGTGAGTCAGGGAAAGCTGATGGGTTAGTGAGCAATTATTTGAAAGCTGCGATGTGGTTTTATAGACGAATGACGAGAATACCCTGGATAGATTAAACGAGTCGAGAGGATGCCTTAAAAACACTGACTCACGAAGAGAACTGGTTGCCCACATCAGAAGGAGACAATCTACATTCTTTGGTCATGTGACGGGAAGAAGAAAACTGGAGTACATCGTGACAGTAGGAGAGTTGGAGGGGTGGAGAGGCAGAGGGAGACCGAGAGAAAAGATGCTGGACAGTGTGAAATCATGGCATGGCCGATTATCTATGTCATAGTTGATTGAAAGTACACGAGAAATAACTTCGCTGATCATACTGCTCTTCTGTCCCAATTACGGAATCAGATGCAAGATAAATTAAATATACTTGATGCGAGATCACAGCAGCTTGGTCTGAAAATCCATAAAGGAAAAACAAAGATTATGAGAATAAATCAGGCAAATAGTATTGTGGTTTCTCTTAATTGTACCCCACTGCAAGACATGGAGTCGTACACCTATTTGGGCAGTAATGTAGATAAAGATGGAGGAACTGATAGAGATATAAAAAAAAAGAATACAAAAGGCAAGAGGGGCTTTCATAGCGCTAGGGAATTTGTGGAGGTCAAAGGAAATTAAAAGAAATACTAAACTAAAAATTTTTAATTCTAATGTCAAATCAGTACTATTGTATGGGGCGGAAACATGGAGAACAACTAAGGCAATTAATAATAAATTACAGACATTCATTAACTGGTGCCTGCGCAGAATAGAGGGAAGTAAATGGTATGATAGAATAACTAATGTAGAACTTTGGGAGAGAACTAAACAGGCTCCAGTGGACCAAGAGGTGAGTAAAAGACGCTGGCGTTGGATAGGACACACACTGAGAAAACAGGAGAACAGCATAACTAGAATGTCTTTGCATTGGAATCCACAGGGGCATAGGAATAAAGAAAGGCCAAAAAACACATGGAGAAGAGAGCTGGAGAATGAAGTTAGAAAGATAGGGAGGACATGGGGAGAGCTCTATGCAATGGCGAAGGATAGAACGACTTAGCGTGAGTTGGTTGAGGGCCTATGCTCCATTAGGGGATAGCAAGGCAGAAGAAGAGACACGAGAAATAAGGCTGAGAAAAGACGTGACTACCATTGCCACACGGCATAGATTTTAAGAAGAAGAAGAAGAATAGGATTTGAATATATGACCACAAAACGAATGACAAGCAATACATTTGGAGGGAAGGGCGGGGCTCTTCTTGACAGTGGTTTCGTTTTGGGATCAGAAAGCCACATGCCTGGATGAAGACTTGTGTGACGCATGTCCTCCCCTGTTTGGTACAGACTGGTTCCATTAGGCTAAGCCCCTGCCCTGCGCTTCCCCTCTTGAATGGCCTGTAAATATCGCTAAAATGTCTATTGTGTCTATTTCGCGGTCTAAATGCAATAGTTTGTTACTTTCGTGTGAGGAGGTTGACTGGCTCTTTGGTGTTGTGTTCTGTCTGTATGGGAAGTGTTTCCTTCCAGTGTATTATAAAACTTGGTGGCCAACAACGATCGCTTTTGTTAAGGCCCATAGTAATGATAACGAGTTGAGTTAAGTTGATTCAAGAACTGACATCACAACATTTGGGTCACTGCCACAAGCGCTTCGTCCCCATCTTCAGCAGCCAGCGCAGGGTTCCAGTACAAATGGTACCAGTAACAATCTGATTATAATCTGTTTTGACTTTCGTCTAAGCGTCGAGTATCGACCACATTCCATCGTCGCTCCCCGCTGAATCACTCACACCAGACTGTAGTGATCCATTTGCTCCTCCGAATTGTACACGTTCTCCCACAAGGCCCTAGCCACACAAATGCCTTATCATGCATCAATATTCCACCAAATTATGCAGAGCCAGCTCGTCTGTCCGACTGTTCATTTACCAGCATTCCCGGAGAAAACATCCAGCCAATGCTCCTCACCCGAGACCTCCGAATGGAAGCATGAAATTCTGGAAGAAACAAGCCTGTCCTCATTTTCATGCAGAAGAATAACATCACGATAACGACAGAGTAAATACATATATACATACACATATACGGCTGTAAATATGTGTATGTATATATGTATATATAGGTAGAAATACATTATGCTTACCTGAATGGCAATTAGAATACAAGTCATGATTATCTGCGACTTCGGACTGATAAAGGGAGGTCGTTTTGCCGATCGACGGGCGCTTTCGAATATTCTGGATATCCTGTTTGTCTTTATAAGCAATGCAGAGTAAATGATGCTGAATCCGAAACCGACTCCAAATCGCTGAACAGCACACACGGCTGTTGTGGGCGGAGCAATCAAGATGAATGTCATAAAATAGCAAAGAACACAACCAGAAAGCAACATGTAGGAGAGTTCTCGACCAGAAGCCATCACAACCGGTGTATTATTGAACATGATAAACAAAGAAATAACAAAACAAGTGCACATGATTCCCAACGTCGCCAAAGCCATGGGGATGATGGCATGGATGCTTGTCCAGTGCATTAACTGGACCTCCAATGCAAAGCAGCCGGTCTTGTTGGGATATGGCCACAATCCCTCGGCGCACGACTCACATGTCTTCTCGTCTTTAATATACTCCCATGGGTTGCATCTGGTGCAGATCCAACAGCACTGCTCACCTCGTTGCATGTTTTTAATTTCGCCTTCTTTGCATGGCTCACTGCACCGGGATCTGGGGATCTCTTTGGTTTCCCCTGCCCAGATTATTTCTGAGTGGTTGACGGAGAGACCGCTGTTCCAGAGGCCGACAGTGTGGTATTCATACTCTCTTGTAGTGCGGTTTCTCTGGTAGTTCATGATCATGTATCGTCCAGGGGCGTCACCTTTTTCGTCAAACCTCACCATGGCTCCGTATCCATCTGGAACGGAAATAAAAATTATTATTTACAGACTGAAGTGAAATGCAACATCACAGTAAATGGCACAAACATTAAACAAGTGTATATGTTTAAGTCCATGGGTACCCAGATAAGATAACATCACGAATGACTGGACAGATTTTTAAAAAATAAAAAAGTCATGAGAATGCCTTGAAGAAATATGCCTACATCAGATAGGAAGTTAATGAGAATGAGAAAACTGGAGTACATTCATGACTGTCGAATTTTGCAAGGGAGAAGCTCAAGCAAATGCTGGAGCAGCATGATTTGTGCAACCCAGGTGCATACTGCAGTGAATTGTGGTCCTGTCTGCAACAATGCTTGTTGATGAAAATGGAAGCAGCGGCTATAATATGGTTCAGTCCAGAATTATGCAGACAAAAGTATATTGTCGTCAACTTGAGGCTGTACTGGTGAAACAGGCAGTTACTTGTAAACGTAATCGATTTTGTGTTTCAGTGAAAAGGATTCATTTATTTGCTTTAGTTTATTTAATTGCCACGGTAGTATGCACCAGACGAGCTTTAGAGAAATATGCGTTTCTTTAATTCCATAATTAGCATTTCTAGTAAGGTATTTTCACAGCGCTTGCCTGAAGAAATATCCATGTATACAATCTTCTTCATTTTCCTTTTAACTTCCTATGACCATAACCTCTCGAACTCTCACCTACCCTGCCTTTCAAGGTCACTTCCTATTTACTGTCCTTTCAAGGTGAAAACTTTTATGCTCAGCTATTCCCCATGTGGGTTCTGGGGCCCCGTTGTCAGGAAAACTAGAATAGAGCCACTGCCTCCCTAAAAAAAAAAACATGTCGTAGAAGTCGGTAACTAGGCAAGAAACCAATAATATGCATACAGTCAGATCTGTAAAACGGATGTGCACGCAACAATCAGGTTAAGAAACAATAACTAAAGACCAGAATTTGACAAACAACTAGAACTTCCAGCCGGCGTTTACAGCCGGTGAACTCGACCGCCAGGGTCAAGAGACTATTTTCCACTGGGGATAAATATTTCAACTTATAGTGGACTTTATTTATTCATTCATTACCAAACAACACCTCATGCGGTTGTTAGTTTCAATTGACCTTTAAAAGAAAATAGTTTTAAAGGGCACGAATGTTGACGAGGTCCAGTAAAAGTGTTATTTTGCCGGATGAATTATTTTTTGTGTAATATGTCTTTGTCAAGCGATATTCAGAAAATAAGGTAAAGTTCCTTTGGGAGCCAGTGAACAATGTGGAAAAGCGATTAGATGGATCGCCCTGGTTTAGATAGAATGATGCAGCGAGCAGGGACCCATGGATCTAGCTGGCAGTCTGCTCAGAGGAAATGCAAGATATACGTGTAATCAGACTGCAGATGTCACCCAACTGTAATGGGCTGGCTGCTGAAGATAGGAATACAGGGCTTATAAGAATGCCCTGAGTGTCAAGATGTCGATTCTGAACGCAAACGAACTTCACGTGAAAACTGTTTTTCTCGTGAGCTATAGATAGATAGTCTGTTAGTTAGTTAGTTAGTTAGTTAGTTAGTTAGTTAGTTAGTTAGTTAGTTAGTTAGTTAGTTAGTTAGTTAGTTAGTTAGTTAGTTAGTTAGTTAGTTATACAGATAGATAGTTAGTCAGTTTGCTAATTACTGAGTTAGTGAGTGAGTAAGTGAGATAGTTAATCGACAGATTATCCTCATTGCACATCGGACAGGTCCATAAGCGTTCGGATCCCATCTTCAGTATATCCCACAGCTTGTGATGGTCTCTGTTGGTTTACTATTCTTCTTTGGCTGCCTGTATGATGTTCATGTTTGGCGACACTGTTTTGACCTGAAGTTATTGTAAACTTTTGAGTGTCGCCGATTTAACTTCGCATCTTGGATCATCTCCCTGAGATTACTGAGAATGTCGACCTGATGCATTGCTTTTCCTGTACCTATCGTGGCCCTGCCAGCACGCCAGTTCACTCGTTTATCCCCTCTTACCCCAGAGTGTCCAGGCACATAAATTAAAATAATTCCTTTCAGAGGAGATTTCATCAACGACTCTAAACATTTTCTTCTAATCGATTCTGTCTCTATCTTCTCAAGCTTGCTAATGGGATCACTGAGAAAAATACTCATAGAAAAAATGCTGTTTCTCTAGCCGCATCATTGCTTTTGTTTACCACCATGATCTCCATAGTCAGACTAATTGAAGTCGAAGCAAAAGCCTCGCTATCTTCTTTCACAGTCTTCCCCAGAACCAGAACCGCGAAAGTCCATAAAGTTTGTAGGTGTCGAATGACGGAACCACTAGTGTAGACAATATCACCTCCGCAGGCAGAATTTTCGAGAATTAAGTCTTGAACTTCTGCCTCAACCACCAACGAGCCTTGTTTTCTGCAATCTCTACCCAGTTTTATGCTCACTGGTGCTGCCTCCTATTTGCATATAACAGTGTTTCTAAATAATTTCTTAGTCGCGGCGCCTTTTTTCAATTAACATTTTTTTCACTGCCCCCTAACCTAAGTACAAGTAAAAAAAAAAAAAAAATCAAACTTATGTATCTTCGAATATTTTGCGGCGACCATGTAAAGAGTTAGCGGTAACCCGGTGGGGGGGGGGGGGGGGGGGGGGCGTGGCGCACAGTTTGGGAATTACTGGTCTATAAAAAACATCTGTTGTTTGGTGAAATGATCAACATTATACCAGCCGCCTTTACTTGCCAGGACATTACCATTTACAAATTACTGGCTGGTCGACTTGGTAGCCAAAGTCAGTTATGAAACACATATGTAACGATACAGGAACTTCATCAGGCCCATCCTTATTTATAGAGGCAAATCAGTAGTTGTGTGTGAAATTATGTAGAAGTTTCAGCAATGAGTTTATATATATATATATATATATATATATATATATATATATATATATATATATATATATATATATTTATATATATATATATGTGTGGTGTGTGTGTGTGTGTGTGTGTGTGTATATAATACCATGTTTTTTAGGGGGGGGGATTAAAAAAGATGTCTTGAAGAAATGAAACTCACAAAAAGAACGGATGACAGATCAGTCCAGTGTTGTTTGCGTTCACCAGCTGTTAACCTCAGCGGAAAGACCTGGTTGTTCGCCCATTTCTGGACTTTTGCTTTCTTCCAGGACCTGAGATTTGCATGTGCATCCGTTTTACAGATCTTGCTTATCTGTATGCAGACTGGTGGTTGCATGCCTCTCAGACAGATGCATTAAAATTTTATAGGAAACTCCCAATTAGGCGACTCTTACGACATGCTTGTTGTGGGAGCAGTTGTATCTTCTTGTTTTACTGATAAGGGCAGCGCTTGTGTTGATCACTACAGCAGGAAACTGAAGTAAAAGAGACGCAGGGAACTAGTGTCGAATCAGACACGTTATTCTCTGTGTGCTTCCAGAGCCTCATTATGGGAAAAACAAGAACAGCCCCCTTTGCCTCCCCACAGGCATGTCGTGAAAGTCAACTAATTTTGGACTTTCTTCGAAGTCGGAGTGAATCTGCCCGAGCGGCACGGAATAACCAACTGCACACACATGAGCCAGTAAAACAGATGTACACGCAAAACTCAGGCTTTTGACACAAAGTCAAAATCCAAATGGACGAACAACCAGGACATTTCGCCAGAGTTTACAGCTAGTGAAAAAAAAAATAATAATAAAAAGGGCATATGATGCTGATCATCAGACTGGGAGTTCTTAACAGAACGTCGCTCTCTCGTCACGGCACTCCTGAAAATACGAATTCCTACCAGTTCTCCAGTCCTATGTGCTTTTATAGATAGTGCATCATCATTGTCTTCTATCCACATTCTCGGAGATCGACCTCTACGTCGTTCTCCAGGCAAGGTACCCTACCCCCCCCCCCTCCCCCCCCCCCACTAAATCACCGCTTACTGCACTCCAGGGTCACCGTAACGTTTAGTTAACATGGTCAGAATACCTCAGCTTTCAGTGCAGAATGCTGTTTATGAGCCAGTTCTCCTTGATGTTCAGATCCTGTTGGACGTCGATATTTTTCCTATTTCCTGGTATTCTGAGAATTTATCTGAAATATTTCCCGTCAAAAGCTCGGGTTTGTTTATTTCAGGTTTGAGTAAGAGTTCATAACTCACATATATAGGTTGCCACGGCAAAGATACCAGATCATGTTATGCTAGACTTGTAACTTTATGCTTTTAAAAAAGAAAACTACTGCAATTGTAACATAATTTTGTCATAAAGTTGACATTCAAAATCTTTGTAGTTAATGAGTGATACTTTTCAAATTGCAAACAAGAATACCATAGGGTTCAATCAATCAACTGACAGTTTTTTTGCATCTGGTGTCATTGACAGTTTTTAGGAGCACGGGCTTTCCTGTCAACTAACAGAAACGCGCTTACTATACGTAATATAACTATAACAATACGTGTCTTTTTTCCCCTTGAAAGTACAGAAAACCTAACGGCCCTGAATGAGCGACTTCCTCATTATAGCACTACTCGTTTTCACTTCCCATGACATTTCCGGGTACTCCCTTTCACTGGGTCGACAGGAAGATCTAGGTGTATTATAAAACTCCACCCCAGTATGGGTTCAAACCTATCACCTAAGGGTTAGCAGGCAAGAATCTAGCAACATAACTAGTCCACATAATACTAAATCATATTTATAATGACAGTCACTACCTGTAAAGGTTAATTGGAATTATATAATTTGTTATGTATCTCTCAGTCCTTAAGAAGGAGAATAGGGGCTTTTGAGCTGAAATGCTATAGAAAGATTCTCAGAATATCTTGGACAAAGAAGATGAGAAATATTGACATCTTAAAAGATCTGAACATCAAGGATGATTGGCTAATAAACAGCATCCTTTCTCGAAAGCTGAAATATTTTGGTCTTATCAAGCGCCACGACGGATTGGAAACAATTATAGCAGAAGGTATGGTACCAGGAAGGAGGGGCAGAGGCCGACCGAGA